TATACAACGTATCCAATAAGACATTAGGACCTATTGAAGTATCGAACCCTGCGGTCAATATGAACGGCACGGGTTGTGCAGCTAGCGATAGGTACAAGATAATATTTGTAGACCAAACAATATAAAATCAGATTCTATTTTTGACAAGAAAAAAAGAAGACACATGGCAGTCCTCGGCCGCCGGTGTGAATATTAGTCTGCGTTCACTCTGATAGAGATTTTATTTGTAATATTACATACAATTGATTTATGAACAATAAAAAACAAAAGTTTTACCCCAAAATTAAAATAGCAAATACTATGATATAGCCAACGGGGGGGGGGGGGGCGGCCGCCCCTACCGCCCCCCCTGAATCCGCGCCTGATTTACCTTAACCATACTAACATTTGTGCCGATTTAACGACTCTACAACGCTCTTGATACAAAGACGCCAAACGTCAATTGAATAAATAGAAACGGCCAGGTAGTATAAGAACTGGTTTATAAAATTTATTGACGGTGTCCCCAATTTAACGGAAAACATTAAAAGCTTAACATTGTCACCTGCTTCACTTTTTATCAACTCTTTCACACTAAAATTTACATTTTGATTAAACAAATCCATGTTTTTTTATTTTATGAATGTGTTAAAAATTACATGGATTGAACTATAAGTTTATTAATATTTGGATGTATCCATGTTTGTTTATTAGCTAGGGGTTTGGGGCCTATTGCAGTGTTCAACTCCAGAGCTATAGACACCGTTCCACTGTTATAACTTATGACTATACTCAGAAATAAAGTCACGACATCGGACTATACTTACTACTTAGGCTATCTATCATCCAGTCCAGTCACAGTGGGTTCGGGATAAGGGGGGTTAGGACATGGTGGGCATATAGGAGTTATGGTGACTGACATTTTATATTTTATAGTCCCATTATAGATATCTACTTTCAGTAGATTCAGTACCTAGTTGAATACAGGTAACAATAAAAACACATCATTGTAAACATAGATGGTACTATAAGAAAGTAGGTACATTAATATAAAACATATTATACAGCTGTATTTGTATAGCATATAACCTTCATCTTCCACTTGAACATCGAATGTATCGTAATGTAATCAAAATACACATTCAAGTACTTTGGGTTTAGCAAATTGTTTTTTTCGTCGATGATGTTCGTTATTTGATTTCGGTGTCTATAGCCGTTCTATGTGACACGTAATTAACTAAATTTCAATTTTTTTTTTAAATTATTATGTATTTTAAGAGCGTTTTTATTCTCAGCATGGTGCATTTTTTAATGACAATAAGAGTATTTATATTACCCTATCTCACTAATTTATAAAAATATAAAAAAAACATGCCACATCACCGCAACAAACTATTTCTTGTATAATAACTAATACGTTTTAAGCCATTATACTTAATTTTAGTGCACTGGACTAAACTGTGATCAAATAAAAACATTTGTTGAACTGTACGAAAATCACACAAGTTTTAGAAAACATTTTTGGAACTATAGAGCTTAAATATGTTTTATTAATTACAATTCAAGTAACATAATTTTTGAATATTTCATTCATATATCTATAGCCAATTAAAGTTAGGCATTATCGCGTTAATAGGTTTGCATTTGGCTAATTATATATTTTTTAACTCGATGGATAATAATTATCATTATTATAAATATTTTTAGCAACACACTTGACCGATAAGTACTTTTTAATAATATACGTCATTATAAATTGTAATAAACTTTTTTTGTATTTTTGAACCTTCTTGATTAAATACTGAAGATGAAATGAAAATTACAATAAATAGTTACTTTAAAAAATAAAATAAAATTAGGTTACTAATTAACCACGAGTAATCGTTAAGTAAGTACTTAAAATCGGTCTTAAATAATGTTTATGATATTTCATTAAATTTGAAAATAATATAATAACCATAAACGTGCCAACCTTTGTTGAAAAGTAATTTTATATTTTGTTAAAATTTAAGAGCATAAAAAAACGAATTGCGTTCCAATGAATTTATATAGGTGTACCCGTTTCTAAGAAAATATAAAGGAGTTATTAGCGCATGAAGATAAGACAATGCTATATGGATATAGACGATAGCTTCAAGATATTCGGTCTAAAATAACCAATTTAAACTTTAAAATATATCACCTATCATAATTAATAATGGGGTTCGTTTATTTATAATGTTGTACACAGGTTCAAATGCTTACTCCTTTTGAAGTAGAGTTTTTCCTCTATGAGTTTACCAGACACGACGAAATTCATACACAAGAGGAGGGATATTTTATTCCTTAACAGCTCTCATATATACCTATTAACAGATTTAAAACAAGACATAGCAAAAACCGAACAATTAGTCGAGAATCTTTAATGCTAAAAATAGTGGAAATACATTTTAGCCGAAGAGGTGGTTTACTTAATTTTGATAATTTTAATTCAATTTTAGACGGCTATGTGATTAAAGCAGCGGACTTCTTGTTGATTATGTAAGAAAGTCATCCAGAAGTAAGCAAATATTTGTGTAAAAAAGTGGGTAAAACATCTTTAAGAATATTAAATAGAACCCTTTTACAAAAACAAACGTAAAATCATTTTATATGAATGATAGGACATTTAAAATCCATATTTTCCAAAAACGAAAGGTTCAACTATTTGTAATTTTTGTAAATTTGCAATATAAATGTAATTCATTTACTTATAAATAAATAATAAGACAAAACTATTTGTTGAAAAAAAATGTCAAAAGCAAAACTAAATTAATAAATTGTTAAAAAATTATAAAAATTGAATACCTTAGGTATTAGATTTTAAAATTGTGTTAATCATTTTTTTAGTTTTGATTTTAAAAGCGTTTTAAGTGAATATTATTTATTTTTTTAATTGTAATCCATATCCACGAGCTTTATTTATGTTGAGAATTTTAAACATTAAAATATCTTAGAATAAAAAATTAGAATTGCTTATAGCAACAATATTAACTTTTTTATGATCTTATGTCTACGGTTATAATACTTTATATCGAAAAAATGTTAATTTAAAATACGTCGAATTTGATGTATTTAATGTTTACAGTTTTGTACTTACATTATAGGGAAATGGTCGAAGCCAATCACAAATAGAGGAGTTCGTAAGTTTGTATTAAGTTCACAAAACTGAATGTGGTAGCTTTGATTTTCTGGAAATTAAAAAAAACTTCAAACAATTTAATATGGCTACCACATAGCGGGTTATGAATCGAAACTACTAATTAAAACCTATTGAGGACCCGCTGCTAAAGAGTTGATGATCATTACGGCAAAACATAGGACAGTTAACAAAAATGTAATACCATTAATTTTTAATTACTTTACTGTTATGCGTTACTACACCTACTATTTAATTATTCGATACGTTGAATAATATTATGCTCTTACGTTTCTTCAGGCAGACAAAGTGTTAGGTCCAAGCGAGGTCACAAATTGCATTAACCAATTTAATTTGACAAGAACAATGACGGTGTAAAACAATTCAAAACTGCTTTGAATTTACTGGAACGGTTTGTGAAAGAATTTGCTCACTTACAAAAATCTGCAAACAATTGCAAACGAAATTTTATTTTGATAGTAATTTTACAAATTATACATTAACAAGTCAAAAATCGTCTAAGAAAATGTAAATTTGCTTAATTTAGTTGATAAAAAAATAAATGTTCCGCAATTTTTGGGAATGATATCGTTTTATACGAAAAATATCGAAGATCTACTCAGATTTGTTGATACTAACATTTTTTTTTAAATTTTAGTACTTTTAGGATTTTTTTAAATTATATGCTCATATATTATTTGCAGTATTTATATTACTATGTTTATAATATTTGTTTAGATTACGTGACTTTCTTTTACACATAATAATAATTATTATTATTATGTAAAAAAATTACAATTACACTTAGTGTAAAACATTTATACTTAGTATTTAAATTTTTTCATACGTGTATTTTATGAAAGTTTGATATACTGTTGTAATTTTTATCAGTTTTCCAATGTAAATTTTATGTAACCCGACGATGGCCAAACGCCAAAACTAGTAGTTATCAAAAGACTCTTTTGACACTTAATGTCTAGTTTTTACATACCTATTAATTATTTAGTAAAATAATGGCAATAACATGTTTTTTAGGGTAACTGTTTTAGTATTTGTAATATAAAATAATATTATTATATCTCTCAAACCGGTGAACCGATATCTTCATACGTCATTTTCTGGTTAGTGAACATTATATCTTGGTTAGTTGTACTAGGTTATTTTGTTGATTTAAATATTGTTACTTTAAACATGCTATTAACCAAAAAACAATTCAATAAAATATACTTCTCTAATTTAAACTATGTAATATAATTATTTATTATGGTTCTCAATTAAAATAATATTATTAAGAAGATCCAGTTTTCTTTACATAAGTCCAATGCTACTAAAAAAAAAAGTTTTTTAAATTCAGCCATATTAATTAAAGGCTTGAGAAAAAGTTTAAAAGTTTTGCTATTACAAAACAATATTATGTAATGTATTATACTTTTTAAAGGTATTATGCTTATAATATCTAGCAAATTGTATTGGTCTGCTTCCATTTTCTTTTCGTGTCAACTGGTCATTACAAATTAACATAAATTCCAATTTTTTTTTATTTGTGTACGTATCTTAAGTTATCAAAGTTATTGTTTTTTAAGTTTATTGTAGAAATTAGTTACGCAATTCGGATTTTAATTCAATCAATATTTGAAATAATCCTTACGTATAATTAGTTATTTTGATATGAAATAATGTCGAGCTTCTACGTGAACTTGTTTAGCGCCTAGTAAGTAGAGCTCATTAACTTCTCGAAAATAAAAATAAAGATAAGAAAATGTAAAAAAAGTAACTCGAAACCGGCTGGACGTGCGTTATAGCTAAAATAAATAAAAATAAAAATAGATCAGGATTGATTTAGGTAATTGAAACGTAAACGATGTTTGGGCGTAAAAATTGTATTTTACAGAATGTATAAATATGTATAATATATATATAAATAAATTATAATAAATATAAAAATAAATTATTAAATAATAAAGAGTAATATACATATCAACCGGTTGCGCAGTGTAGTGTGTATTTGTTTGTACTCGGCAAAACACAATCAACAGGTATAATATAATATTATGCTATTACAGTGTCGTGGACTTGTCACAATTGACCAACCAGATAAAATCCAACTTTGGGTCCGTCTGTTTACCTAACACAGACACATGTTACATATTTGGATTATTATTTACGAATTAAAATACCCGTACAGAACTGAAACGGACGGACAATAATGTTGTATATTATATTAGTTTACATTTTTTTTTTAATATTATAGATTGAGTAATGTTTTAGGCTGGACAGTAGACACGGTAGATCTATGTGCTGAATTCGTTATACTGTGATATAATTTCTTATTGTAATACGTAAATACTATTTATTGTTAGATATTGTATATATAAATACTATAGACCCAGAAGCCTAGGTCACCGAGTGCGATAATAAATAATTAAATATAATATAAACATACAAAAAATAATAGTCTTTAAATCTATTAATAAAAATAATAAATAAATAAATAATAATAAATAGACATTATCTAACTGACCAGACTAATGAGTTGTCAAACTGTAATCCTAGCTATATTATATTATATCATTTGTTAAGTTTGAACTATCATTTAGTCAAGTTTGAAGTATAAAAAATAACTAATATCCGTAAAACATATCACATTGAATAATAATAATAATAACTTTTTTCAATATTATTATTATGTATACATTTACGGACAAGTTACATGGCGATTGTTGGGTATGCGTATACTTATAATATATGTGTATGGTAATATAAATATTTGTGTATAAGTATACGTATACGTAATATATGGCTACCTACTTAGGAGTTTTTTTTTAAATGTATAAAACGAAAAAATATAAAAAAAAGAAGAATTAATCGAGATATTAATAAAAAAATATTTATCTTTGGGTTGCCTGAGGGAGGACCCGAGTGTAATTGATATTAATATTATCCAACACTTGGGTCCGGGCGGCGGCGCTCAAACGCTCACATTAGTCGTAAATAGTATAATAATCATTACATGTATAATATATATCGTTAGTGTGTTTAGGTACTAAACAAATAAATATTTAAATAAATGACAATACAACATATGTATATAATATACACATACATGGATTGCTTGTGAAAAATGCCTAGAGTATCAATAAGGAAGAGAGGAGTGTGTTTGTGTGGGCGGGTTTGCGCGAGAATGCCCGCGGGTTAGTGTGGCGCAGAAGGCCTCTGGCCGTTGTATGCCAAATGTTGGGCCTGGCCCGTAGTCGCTTCCGGCCTGGACTGCACGCGCCTGATGAACCGGCTGATGCTCTCGTGACCGCCGCCGTTGGATCCCTGTTCGATTATGCCGGGCTCGGTGGCCGCGATGCTCCTGCCCCAGATGCCGCCGCTCCATCCCTGGTGGTGGTCGTCGTATTCGCTGTGCTCTGGCGGCTCATAGTGGTGTTGGTGGTGGGCATTCTCGTAGTACACCACTTTGTCGTGGTGGTGGTGCTTGCTTTTCTTGATGTCGTACCAGATCTTAAACGTGTTGGACAGCGCGTAGATCATGGCCACGATCAAGAACTTGCTCATCAATATCGACTGAATCGTCATAATTATCATCTTGATCTTCTGTTTCACCAAGAAGATACCGAATAAGATTTTCAACACGAACTTTTTGATTTCCTTTTGGATCTTCTTCTTCTTGTGATGTCCTCTACCTGCAAAATCCACACCAAATTATTAGTTATTTTAATAAGTATTACTGGACACGACTAACTACATAATATTATAATATCTATAATAACGGTAGGGTTCGCGTAATAATGAGATTTTTCTCCCATAAAAACAACATCGGATCAAGCATACCCTTAGAAGATGAAGGCCCAGGGTGCTTTCAGTTTGCGCAATTGTTAACCGCTTTTGTAGTCAAATTTAATTACCAGTCGTTTAATTTATTTTTAATTTATAATTTTACGATGTTAACCTATAAAGTTGGACCTGTAGCGCTACCGTGTATTTTAAGGACAAAATTTAGACTGAACTAAAATGGCTTCTCCAAGTGGACGTTTTGATAAAGCCAGTTTACCGTCCTCATTTCCCAAGACCGCGGATTTCACTTTTCAAGCACCTACGTTATGTATGAAAAAGGAGATCATTAAATTAAGTGCCATTTTAATTACGCGTTGTTTAAGTGTACATTTTTAAAATTCGAATCAGACGTTTAATTTTAGTATACCTACGGTTACTTATTACAAATAACGTATGTCGGTGAACAAGGCGTTTGTATATTAAATTATTACAAAAAAATCCGTTTTCGTCGTAGACCTATCAACTTATTAGACGTCTGGCGGGCAAAGAAAGGGCCGTTTGCATGTCGATTAATATGTACAGCGGGTGTAACATAAACCATAAGTTTAACGGTTGACAATCGCCATGTACATAAGTTATAGCGACGATACGCCCGGGGAGACGTAGAGCGGAAAAAGGCGAAAAACCTTAAAAAAAAGTTATATGTATACATTAGCGGAGATCAGGAAGGGGGGTTGCTTGGGTTTCTAAAAATCTTAAAATAACCTTAAAACTTAAAATCAGTGCTACATTTATTTTTAATAACCCAAGCCCTCCCCACTGATCTCTGCCAATGTATATATACAAATTATATATGTATAGATGTATAGATGTGCAGATGTATAGATGAAATGCATTGACAGTGTGCCGTAAGGTTGTTGATCGGCAAACGGTGGCGGATACGCGACCCAGTTAAATGTTATTAATTTATCTTCACCTATCCTGTATGCGTCCGACCGGTTTCAGCGTTGAGCACATGTGTTTATCTTCTCTCCGACAAGAACCAGTTGACCTACATGCGCGTCGGCGACACGATAAACACAGTATACCAGCGAGTTTATGGAAACGATATGACAGATACCCTTGGCAATGGTCCGACCGCCGGACGTGTGTCCAATTTTCTAAACGAGTAAAACGGGTATCCGCGCACTTGGAAGACGAGTCGAAAGAAACGTGAATTATATAGGTAGACACTGTGTATGGTGTACAGGTACATACATAAATATAACGTATCGCTTAACTATATTCAGAATATCTAGAACGATTTCGGACGCGAGCCAGAACGATTACCAAAAACTAAATAATATATATTTTCACCGGAATAAATGTTGTTTTCTACAATATTATACTTGAGCCGTCAGGTCGTCCGGCGGTTAGAAAGAAGCACGACGAGGGATACAGAAAGCAATCGATAACATCTTATTCGTGGGTATAGGTCTTTAAAACGCACTCCGGCCACCGTAGTCTTATTGACCAGAAACTAACGATTCGTACCTAACACTAGGGTTTTTATTTTTTGACCTTTAGAAGATGTTTTTGTACTGTTGTCGGCTCGACGAATAAGTCCACCGATTTCTGTACACGTTTCGTTCACGGTAGATAGTAATAAGTTTTTTTTTTTTTAATCCGGCTTGGCAGTTCTTCTTTTTATGCGTCGTGGGACGTCTAACCTAGTGGGCTTCGGTAAGCTGTAGGCAGAGAGAGCGATGCGGTTGCCGCCTAACACGTAGAATCGATATTGATACGGCGTACATTTTCCAAGCAAGCTATAGCCTTTGGGTTTAAGAAATATAATATATGATGTTGGATTATGTTGTGTAAACGAAACGAGTAGGCCCAGTCCTGGTCAGGTTAGTCCGTTCAACTCTCGAATAAACGTCCTACCATAATGAGCTTTCGCTTGTTTCGAATTAACGCTCTGATAATTATCGTTTCGCACTAGAGTCTAACTTGGTCCATACTGTTGTTATAATAATATAGCATTATTGTACTGTATAAATATACTAGAACCGGCAAAATCAGTATCAGAATATCGTTATAATGCTTTCTTATTGTGTTGTTTGTTTTGGTCTTTGTAATTGTGTATCGACGCCCACCATTGATTGACTAAAAAATTGTTAACCCACTACGGTCGGGCAATAAAGTTTTTTTTCTTCAAAAATACTTTTTTGGACTAAAAATCTGAAACGGAAGAACCGAATAACTGAACTAGTGTCGACTCAAACCGGATCCGGCACGGTTTTGAATGTTGTGTCATCATTTTGCACTATAACCCTCGTGGGGGGTCACTTGTCACGTCGTTACGTTACCGTAATGAGCGGCCGATTGATACAGTACAAGGAATAAAAACGGGTTTATTATAAATGTAAGTAGGTATGCAAATCAAAACAGTTTTACCGTTTCACGTCGATAAACATTATACACCTAAGCCGTTAGCGGGCGCGTTGACTATATTCCGGTCGTTCGGACTAAGCATAAATCGATTGAACGCAAACCATCATCATCATCATCATCATCGTCATCATTTATAAATCATATTTTTATATATAATACGAATATTATTATATTATACACGTGTAATAATTACACAAGAATGTCTGAAGATGTATTATAATTTTAAAATGTTCTAAGCCACGCTATTATTATCATCATTGCCGTTGTACTATATCTGTATTATTTGTATCCGGTTCAAATCCGGTAACGCGGGTTAACCGTCATCGGTCGTGTTCAGAGAGAAAAAGGAAAAGAGAAAAAAATCAAACATTTTCATCAGAACGCAAAAACTACTTTCGCCCGACCACCCCCCGCACATCTATACACGAGTACAATATTATCTTACATTATGAACTTATCGGACACGACCGGTTTGATTTGCTGTGTTTGAACAAAAATAATATAATATAATAAAATGAAAAAGAAAAAATGCCGCCTTAGATTTATTCCACTCATCCGGCGTAACACTTTCGTCGAACTGGTTAGGATAGTCCATTTTGGAAAAACTGATGATTTCCCCGAATGCGAAAAAAAAACTACTCTTACTATGCGGACTTTCTTTCTAATATAGGATTTCGTCTTTGTCGTATTACGCCTACGCCGTCTCGAAAAACCAATCGTTCACTTAATGTTTTCAGTGTTTTGATGAGCACTGATAAATTGGCACAGTATATTTTTAACGGTTTATTAACATATTTTAACGGCCAAACGACCCGTGGCATTTTTGCGGTAAATTCGATTTTTATATTAACTCCTCGACTCTATTCTTGATCTTTTATATGTATGTACAAACTTGCACAGATAATTTTCTCCGGATTCCGGCGGATTTATTTGGGAAAGCATGCCGTCACGACCTTAAGACACATAAGCACATATTATAGCGCGAGTGCACTTCTTGACCACGGAGGTCACCCACAAGCCTACCCTTTAGTGTACACACAAGTATGTCTTGCGGTAGCCCGGGTCGCCGGCTTTCACCCGACAACCATGTTGTGTTTTGCTATATAGAAGTCGATATCGTGTGTAACGGGTTTTTTGAGTTTTAAATATAAAAATAACCACACGTTATGCGTATCACGGTCGGCCTACCGTAAAAGTTGCCCGGAGCAAACCCAAACCGATTATAACGATTATTATTATATTTTTGGATGCATGACGTGCAATTGTTTGTCCAATAGGTACCTAGTCTGTACTGTTTTGTGTATTACGGTTTACACGATTCTAATATTATTGTGTTATCGTGCTTCCTAACAATATTATTATTCGGTGAAAGCCGCGGCCGTGTGTCTTCTTCTTCTGTGTGTATGTGTGTGTACGGAGAAGAATAAAATACGGGCGTCGATTATCACTGAAGCGGTTATTAAGAAAAATAAACGGTTTTCTTCTTGGACGGTATACGCGTTTGTTTGGTTACTATTATGTTTTTCGCGCATCGCTCACAGTTTTCACCGTCGTCCGGACTGAACAATATATAGTTATTATCATGTGGTATTACATGATGTGCCTTGAAAAAAATCTCGCCGTCCGACTAGGGATATCCACAAACACCTCGTCCCGACAAATCCTACTTAGAGAGAGAGAGAGATGCGCGGCCAAAAGTAGTAGCACTAGGACGTGTACGGCGATTAAAAAATTCATCACTGACATCCCTATGACGGTTCCCACGATAAAAAGAAAAGTCCTTTATGTTCTTGATAATATCGTTAACGGTATATTGGCTCCAGAAATATGTTTTGTGTTCTATTATTGCCGAAATTACAAGTCTGGTGGCCGCCCTCGTCCGTCGTTTGACTCGTTGAACTGGCCAACAATTTATGTATTATTAAAGTAAATTAAATTTTTTAATCACTCAACTGGTGAAAACAACCATAACAAACTAGCTAGATTCGGTAATTAGACGTTCTCTTTGAAATGATTAATATAGTAATTAACTGTTTCGCCCCGAGGGTGTTATAATTCGATCGAAGGACAAGGAGTAATAATTGTACGGTTTCGGACGGTTATAAAGTTATTATTTTCTCAAACCGTCGACCGGTCTCGCCGTAACGTCTTCTTAAAACGCGATCACAGCTAATTAAATTGTGATTTCGAGACCGATTATGATATTAATATTATATATATATTTATATATTTGTACTCATCGTATAGAGCATACACCGTTATTCAATGAGCGTAGATAGCAGTAATAATAATAATAGTAATAACATTGGACGCGTTTTACAGGTGAAAAACGCTAGATTATGTTTAAAAAAATTTTTTTTAATATATATTATTATAAAAACGGTTCGGACGACGTTTTTCAGTGTCACGGTCACGGTCGGTACATGGGGTTATGCGCCTGTGGACAAACGTGCGTTTGACCACGCCGAATTTAGCCGACTATATTATCATAATTAGTAATTTTACTTTTTTTCTTACACTACGGCAAGACGGCAAACGAAACGCCCCGGGGAAGACGGGGCTCACCTAAAGCGGTTAATCACCGAGCATCGAGATAACAAGCCGTGACAGCGTATAGTAATAATGCAACACATTATAATGATATAGTAGTAGTAGTAGTAGTAGTAGTAGTATTAATAGTAGTCTCGTGAGAATAACAACAACACAACAATAATAATAGTAATAATAATATAGTAGTGTGTGACGTCGAGCGTAGTAAAAGTAAGTATAATCGGTACCTGTTATTTTCATTCATGGCAGCTGCACGAAACGGCCATAGGTGTGTGTATATTGGGTTTTCGAATTGGGAAAATAAATAAAATAAGTAACAAATCAATTCGTGAGTATTATTGTCGTTTGTATACTGCCAAATTGTTATATTGGCATATACTCGCGTCTGTGATCTCGCTCTCTCTCTCAATATATAATATATTATTATTCTACATTACATTATTTCTCTATATAAATTATTACTATTATTATCATCCCATTATCGTCTGCGTTTTCCAACAACGACACAAACAAACAAACCTTTATGCGGTTTCCGAAGACTTTTGAATTTCTATTTAAGTTGAGCGTTTCGCCGGACGTGTGCGAAGACTCGTCTAAACCAGAGAAAGCAGCAAAACTAACAGAACAAGACGAGATACTAGAGGGCATTCTGGTCGAGAAAGCATTCTAGTTACTAGACGTGTTAATTGGCAAAAGCTCTATCGGTACGTCGAGCTACTTAATTTGAAGGTATTTACAAAAAGGTATCCGTCGCTAAGCGCCACCGTTATCTAACGACCAACAGCCTTTATTGGGGTCTGTCAATGATAATTAATTATAACGGTTGAGTCATGTTGTATAATGTATGAATGATAAAGTGATAAAGTATTTAAAAATAAGTTAAGCGTTAAAAACGTATGGCCAGTCTGTTCTCAAAATAATCCGCGTACAAACTGGTCAATGTGTAATAAGTAATTAATAAATGTATAAATTATGAAATCGGTGGTGTCAACGTGACGTCGAGAATCGATTTATGTGTTACAACAATTAAATGACATCACTAGTTAAAGCTTTTAAGTAAAATATATTTGATAAGATTATGATGGGCCCCACGCCATTCGCGGTTTTTGGTCGAATCGCTTGTGCGCCCAATGTGAAAACATGTTAATTACATATATTATAATATGATATAGGGAATTACATGCACCCAAAGTACCTAAATACCCATCTATGCCGCAATGCCGGAAGGGGAGAGGGGTCGAATGAAAAAAATAAATTAAAACATTTAACGGACCGATTTGGTTGTAGTTAAATTTTCGGCGCTTAAGTGGTCATATTATTTTGTCAAAAATCTTAATCTTAATAATTATATGACTCGATAGTGTTTACAGACAGAATAAAATATTTGATAGTAAAATAACGATAACGTAATAATATTATATGATTTGTCCGTACCTTCTTCGACGTCCAACATTTCACCGGCGGCCGAAGCGTTCGCTGCTTCTTCCTCGTCACCGCGGAAGAACCGTGAAATTCCGTAGGTGATGAGGTCTCCGATTTCCTGGACAATGTCGCCGACGTTGGTGGCGTCTTCGGGTGAGGTGTCCGGATCACTGCGGGCCATGCGTACCGTGGTTTCGCGCCACACGCCGACCGCTCGGTCCATGCGAACCTCCAGACAGTCGACCGCCGACTTGGGTGACTTGAAGCATTCCAGCACGTTTTTCCACGTAACTTCGCCGACGGCCGTGCCGGCGGACGCCTGTGGCACGACGTTGGCCTCTTGCGGATCCGCGGCAACGGCCACCGCGACGGCGGCCGCCAGTATCAATGCCGAGTACTTGAGCATGGCGGAATTTATAGTATGAAATTTATAGCTGTGAGTTGTATACACTAGAAAACGTATTATAAAAATAAAATAAAAACTCTAATCAAGAACTTGATAAACAAACGGAACCGTACGCCGCGCGAATGCGATATGCGGTCGTCGGGTGGTTAACCAAGGAATGATCGTTCGTGGTGCGGTCCGGTGCATTTATAGACGCCGCTCTAGTGCCGACATTGCCGCCGCCGCCGCCGATGGGCAACCCGGTCCGGCGATGGACGTGACCAGTTTCTAGCAGAAGTAGCGCACGGGAGAGCGAACCGGCCGTCGCGTCGTCATCGCAGTTAGGAGGATGACGCGCGCCGCCCAGCCGCCGTTACAATTTTTTTTTATTATTATGATTATTATTATTATTGTTATTACTCGTATGTTATTACACAAAAAAGCCGCCGCCGATGTGGAAGCCGGACGGATTCGTTACCTATAGCCCCGGGGTCGATATGACACCAAGACAACGTCCCGGGACGCGGCGGCCGGTCGCAAGGTCGACAATCGGCGGAAGTCGCTTTCTCGACAAAAACACACATACATTTTTACCGACAGACAACGTGGGATGATCTGTATACGCGGCCAATGCATATTTCTTTAATTGAAAACGTTTAATTCGTTAAGTGTGTGTGTGTTTTCTTTATGTTCTATGGAAAAGACTTGACGATTTTGTAACCACGCTTTTTTGTACTCAATGCGCAATCAGACCCATGTACTTTTTATAAATCACCCAATTAAATTTGCAATTTTTAAAATGATAAAAAAAACTGTTACATGAAAAAAATTAACACATTTTTTTCTTCATTTAACTCAAATTTTTTGGCGCGTCTATACTCAGCCTCGACTTTCAGCTGAACAAAAAATTTTGATCGAGCATTTCGTAACCAGGATCTGACAAACAACGAACCTACCTTGAACTTGGCGAGCTGGACATTTCTAGAAAGAAATACCTAATAATACAATTATAAATAATGTCCATTTGTCTGATATCAACTTGATTTTGGTAAATCGTTATACTTCGTTCTACTGATACGGTATTATAATTCAAGATAATACTTGTGGCTTCTTTTCAGTTTTTGAATGAGAGAGGCAAAAGTTTTGAACGGCCCATATAAATGAAAAAAAAAACCGCTTGCAAATTTCTTGCCACACATTTCTATAACCATAAATCATTTATTAATTTACTATCATAGGCAAAAATAGCCTAAAATATTTGTAAAGAATATTGACCAAAACACGACGTAGGGCTAAACGAGTATTGGACCTACTTAAAGATAAGTTGATTTGGGGGGGGGATTAATTCTCCGCTGCCCCTCCTTATTTGCACCAATGTGTAGTTGGGGTAAATGTACCTATTTACACAAAATAAAACAAACAATTAAATATCTTTGTAAAAAAAACATCACTATATTGTAATGTTTTAAAAAAACAACAAAGTAGTATATTTATACAGTTGTATAAGCGTAATAAGTTATAAGAGTACTTATTGTCTTTTTATATTAAGCAATAAGAGGATATCTCCTAGTTCTTATGTGGCCAAAAATAGCTCGGTTAAGGTTTATTTTTAAAGCCGTATCTTTTTCCACAGAAATTACAAGCCAATGGCTAAGCTGTTAGGTGTTCATCACTCATTGGTAGTCTTAAATGAGTTTTCACAAGCTGAAGTAAAGATGGATTGTTCAAAAGATGGATTTTAAAAGTTTCTGTAGAAGTGTTATGAATTTTATTTAAAATTTTGAAAATAAAAATATATTACGAATATCATCACTTTGTTTTAAGTTAAGATTTGTTATACGAATTAATAAATGAGTTAATGTTTAAAATTAAGTTATTAAATTATTACTTTTTAAGCATTTGACGCAAAGCAAAAACCATAAATTGCAAAGTTTGAATTAAGAAAAATTGTATTGAGAAAAAAACCCAATTTTTTAAGAACATAAATAGTGAGAAGCTTTTCCAAATTATGTCAAAAATCAAAATACCTTGTTTAACATTTTGAATGAACATAATAAAATGTTGATAGATCGTAAAATTCGTTTAAAAAAGTTGCTTAAAAAAGTATACATGTGTAAGTTGGTTTTAAAAGTTATAATATCCTAGAAAATATTTCTAAAAAGAATATTTAAAGAGTTGACAAAATGTTGGCTACTTAGGATGGTCCGATTAAAATTCTTTAAACAATAAAAATAAGTACTTTGGCCACTTTACATGGTTATTTGGAAACAGATTATTTAGGTTTTGCTTTTTTTATGGAAGTTTTTAAAATTTATTAAATTGCAATAAACTGATCCTTTTTAAACGAAAATCGGTTTCCCACATAACCCAGTAAGGAGACCAACAAATTCTTATCCATTTACAAATCAGAAATCGGACCTGCCTAAGTCTCACAAGTTTATCACAGCATTTTTTTCTACCAAAAATAGCTTTTGTTCAACAAAAAAAAAGTTGTATAGGCTAGAAATAATACTTTGAATATTTTACAAATAATTAACCTGAAAAAAAATCGATATAGTCGAAATTTATTAAAACCGGTTTTTTTCTTAAACATTACCTCTATTCATCTTAAAAATAAAATGAGACTTTAACGCACATATACAACATTTACAGTATACATGTACCATTAGGCCTTGTTTTTTTTTTTAATAATATTTCATTATATATTTCTGCACCAGCCACGCGCTAAGCGCATAGGCGGATTTCCGGGAATGTGATCAGTGTCAAGATATCTTAAAAGAAGATTTAGGCAATACATATTATAGGACATAGGTACAGTTTCGGAAATTTTATTTATGAGTAATTAGATACACAAAGAAGAACACCAATAATTCGTATGGTGCAATTTAATGCGAGTCACCTATTTTCTTTGAAAATAATTACAATTTGAAGTTTTTATTTTTGTACCAATTTGTATTTATGTTAATTTACGATATTGTAAAATTGTAAAATAATATGCACTTTTTTAGTATTTTTCAAAGCGTTATCAACTTTTGGAATTTAAATAGTAAAGTATATATTTAATTGACTTTTTAAATAAGAATAGTTTGCTGAAATTTTTTAGTATTGTCCAATATTTTAAAATAACATAAACTAAAATGTTTCAAAAAAAAAAGCCTACACAATTGTAATTATTTTGAAAGAAAATTAGTGTATTTCGTTTAATGAGTCACCGTGTATATTATAACTAATTTTTTTTTTGTATTATTAATCTCGGCAGCAAAGGCTATTAGTTTACATAAATTTTATAAATAATTACCCAAGTCATATTGAGTTATGAAATTTATAAGTTTGTCGATTGCTTCAGATTGGGGCTTAAGTGTTTCCGATAGATTCTAACTATTATAATTTATAAGTTATAACTAATGCTTATTGTTTGTTGATTTATCCATACATAGTAACCTGGACATTTTATACTACCACACAGCTTTTAATTGAAGTCTTAGGAAACTAAACTTCTGACGGATGTTATTACTGTCATTAGGTGTAATAATAATTTAGTAGCAGTTTTAAAAAAAATTAAACGTACCTAATAATAAGTGATTTCGGAGGTTTATGATTGATTTTTTGTTAAAAATTTAAAAAAAATTGTTTTTTGTTTATAGAGTCAAACATAATGTTTATGTGTTTTAAATGCGCTGAGTCCACCGTTCAATTTCGTAATCTAGCTAAAGTTAAGTTCAGTTTTTGAATAGTTTGTGTAAAATATAGTATTTATTTGTAATTTGTTAATAATTATTTGATATTATGTTTAAGCCTCTTTCCTAATGGTCAATGGTTTAATATCGAATTCTATCAAGTATGTGCAAGTAAAATAATTGAAAAAATAGCACAAGTTTTCGACTTGCGTATAATCAACACATTATTTATATTTAATCCTCTAACTCGTTAACAGTAAATCGGCTCCTGAAGGAAAAATATTAACTCATATAGTTAACTCCCTGTCCTGTGTAAGTTTTAAATTAAGTAGTTTTCATTTTTGTTTGTCTTCGCTATTTATTACTTACACTAACATAACTTGTGTTTGATTTTTTTAATAAAATAATAGCTTTTTAGTGAATTAACGCTTTTTAAACGTTCACCCACTTTGAGGGCCTTTGTTTTGTAGAGGGACTCGCTCGAACCGAGGCTTTGCTTTGACAGAAAAAATATAAACCAGTCGTATCGTGCTACAGAATATATTTGTAAACTATTACAAAAACCAGTAGGTATGCAAACTAAGCTGGAGAAATTAAAAAATGTTTTAAACATTATCAGTCACGAGCCAGTTGCTATTATTGCGGTGCATTTTCCAAATAAGAGAAAAACAAATTGGATTAATTAAATCACCCGCTCGTTTGGATTAATCACACGAATACGACTCTTTCAACATGCCGAACGATCACGCAATTATATATTATACTTTCACTGTAGAATAATATGCAAATATCATATATCGCACTTATTAAGCATATTTTTACCAAGCGGTATCATATACCAATGTAAATAATTACAAATTCATCATATCCTATTACTTTCCCGGTCGTTTTCCATACTCTGTATAATCATTTTCAAACACGCATATACAATACAAACTTTTTCATATAAAATGCACCGATGAACAAAAAAAAAATAATTATTAATCTCAAAGAATTTGTTATCACTTTGTACGCGATTATAGTTAATATACTGTAAAGGACCTTAGAATGTTTTTTTTTAGTGTAATTGCTAAATTTGTTATGTTGTTACACATATCTGTATTGTATTCCCTTCTCCATTATAAAATCCTGGTTCATGTAACATCGCTGACCTCTCAAGTCACGGCAATGATTACCGTCAGATAAGTTCTAGATTATCGAGTGAGCAAACTGCTGAGTCTGTTTCTATATTCTCAATATTTGTTTTGGTTTTAATGAGTTTTATTACATTTTTAAAATAATATTTCTTCCAAAACGTTTTACATTATTCACGATATGTTTAGGCAACCTAGAAATATAAATGGTAAAATATTTCAAAAATCTATCAGTAAAATTATGTATTTAAATCAATCGATTCCTTTTCCATACGTAAATAAATATGCGTTTAAAAAGTATAAATAATAAAAATGTTTCGACACAGTGGCACGCCTTAAAAAATAACTTAATT